TAAATCCATTCAATCTAAATGCCATGATCACAGTGGGCGCTTCAGTCCCGATCCACAGCAAAGCCGGTGCCGCTCGCTTGAATCAACAGCAAAATGGCAGAGAAAAGCTGTGTGTGTGTGTGTGTGTGTGTGTGTGTGTTAGCATGTGAGACGCGACAAAGGGGGACGTGATATGAATCTCTGTCTCTCGCTGCACACGGCACATGAGTGAATGACACGAGGAACACGTCTCGGTCAGCCCGCAATCTGCTGAAATCAGGAAAATCACGACTATTTTAACACACCAATATTACATTCATCAACACATTAAGCATGTTAATCTCATTTCTTAGTTGCATATTGTAATGCACAAAATATTCATAATCATGAGTACTAAATTAAATAAATAATATTGTTTATTAAATTACTAATTGCAAATCCAACTGTAAGTATATATAATAATGGCGTGTGTATTGAATGTATGCTCATTTAAATAAATAATTACATAAATACTAAATATGTGTGTGTTTACTAAATTATTATTATTTTTTATAAATGTAATAATAAATTGGAAATATATTCACCAAAATAGATCATTTAAAGACATTATTGTAGCAGACAAGAGAATAATTGAATAAAGCGTTCAACAAGCCGGTCATTTTTGTGAAGAAAAAAAAAAAAAAAAAAAAAGATTGAATTATTTTTAATCGATGATGCATGAAATTCACAGGCCTAATGATTTCTTATCTTTGTTGTTTTGATGTTGTGGTGAACTATGACCCGGTCGGCATCATAAGATTCACACACACATGACCCGTAACACTGACTCAAGCGAGATAGAACCATCCGATAGCACTGTGTGTGTGTGTGTGTGTGTGTGTGTGTGTGTACACATCATGAGATCATTTGCTTTCCGCATTATATATCTGCCACTGCGATGTTGGTTCACCAGAGCTGAGCTCTTCCTGTTTGATTCTCATTCACTGGGCATTCTGGGTAATCACACGGAACGTGCCAACAGCTAGAAGGCTTGGCCATCACGACAGTCTCTCTCCTTATTAGTCTGCTAGCTCTTCCTGGCTGAGTTCATTGCATGTGTGTGTGTGTGTGTGTGTGTTTGGCGAGGCCTGAGTTTTACTCCAGCCCTAATTAACCAGAGAACGAGAGAAGAGGAAAATGTGTTGGAGTCGGGAAAGCAAATCCATCACCCAGAACTTCAAGAGTCGAGAGAAAGTTCACTCAAAAATCAAAATGCTTATGTTTTTCCAAACCAAAACAAAACAGAATATGAGAAACCAGACGGTTGACGGAAGCTATTGACTTTTTTCCGCCCAATGGACGTCAATGCGTGCGTCAATGTCAATTTTTAACATTTAAAACTTTATAAACAAATATGAAATATATCGTTCAGAAAGCTTTTCTTTTGTTTTATGTCTTTGTCATGAACTGCTCAACTGAACGACACTGGTGTCTATTACACTTTATGAGGACGAGAGCGGCAGTGCTTCAGCTCACCAGAGGAGGCGCTAGCGGCGCGGGAACTACAGGTGTTTCTGACATCATCGAGTCTCGCATCAGTGTGTGTGTAATATTAATGGTGATCAGGGAGACCCCTAATGTTTTCCTTCATGTTTAAAGAGGCATCGCAGTGTGTGTGTGTGTGTGTGTGTGTGTGTGTGTGTGTGTCAGCTCCGGTCTCAGGAGAGTTACACCACTTCAGTCAGAGCCTGTAAATTAGCCTCGACCGACGGCATCAATACACTCGCTCTCACTGGCACACCACCAAACGCAGTAAATCATAAACCTAATGCCATACAGCGCCTGTGTGTGTGTGTGTGTCTGCGTTCTCTAATTTAGTTGCGATCACTCGTCGGCCCTCCAAATCATCAAAACTAATTGAGCCTCTGACTCACCGCCATTACCCGCGCAGAAACGCTCACCGATGATCGCTGGTTAGCCGGAGAGGATTTCCCTCGAGAGGTGTGTGTGTGTGTGTTATCTATGAGGTAGATATAGAGGCTTTTTTAATAAATGAATGTTTATGTGAGAGACAGGCATGATTCTATATAATAAAAACCCTTTGCAGAGCAAATCACGAACTGCACACGCAAGAACACTACAAAATACATTAGCCTACTACTCACACTATTACTGCAGTATGCATACTGGGGATTTTTTAGTAATGCAAACCTAAGTAGTTGTTTGCATAAATGTGCAGAATACAATATCCCCACAATGCAACTGACATATAATATATATATATATTAGGGCTGTGCACAATATTAATTGCGATTAATCGCATCCAAAATAAAAGTCTGTATTTACATAATATATTTGTGTGTACTGTTTATAATTATTTTGAATATATAAATACCTATGCATGCATGTATATATATTGAAGAATTATTTGCACTTAAATTCTGTATATATATATATATATAAATACATAATCTATATTATATAAATATTTTATATATGAATAACACATTTTCTTAAATATATACATGCATGTCTGTGTATTTATATATACAAAATAATTATATACAGCACACACAAATATATTATGTAAACACAGACTTTTATTTTGGTTGCGATTAATTGCAATTAATTTTTGTACAGCCCTAATATATATATATATATATATATATATATATATATATATATATATACACACAGTATATATATATATTAAAAATAAATTGGATTATTTTTTTCAACCCTTTTCCCATTAAAATTATTAATTACATACCATTTAAAGTTAATAATAAAAATACATTTCAAAATGCTAAAATATAAAGTGCCATACATAAGTGAAAATTAACAAGGTGTACAATATATATACTGTATCTACACTTTTTAAAATATCTATTTATTTCCATATAATACATGTACGTTTTATATACATCAGCATAAAATATAGTATTTAAATATATTTATATTGTGAATAAATTTCAATAATTTTTTATATGTACTGTAAAACTTTATAAAAAATATGACATATATAGTACAGAATGATTACTTATCTGTAATGAGGTCAATGCAGCGTACTATTTGACATGTTTATTGTTATATGTTGCACTTTGTTTCACATGCAATTTATATTGTGTCCTGCATAACGCACAGTAGTTTCCATTCCCAAAACACAGCCGGAGCGGGGACAGTAAAGCTAATGAGACACCGAGTGAGAGAGAACAAATATAAAAGCATAAAAGACTAGAATTGTGGACTTGGGAGACGTGGGGATGAAAGGATCTGACGCTAAACTAAACAAACAGGGATAAAAATGGCAAAAAACAGAAACACAGTGAAGATCGCAACCGCTCACATCTCAGCAGGAAGTTAGTCACAGTATCTCACACCTCATTGGCTGAGCCCTGGCCCACACAGACACCAATGGCATTCAAACGCCCCGTTAGCCTCAGGTGAGTCTCATTAGCATGATTAATGAGCTCGTTACTTATTAGCGACATACAGACGAACTACAGCTTGTTCATTTACTTCACGTCAGATATTCTGAAGCTCTCTTCCAAAAGTTCATCAAGACTTTCTCTTTCCCTGTTCATCAAGACTGAGACAGTGGAGATGAATGCCAATTATTATGCAGAATTGCGTCTTTCGCAGAGAATACTATAGGAAGAGCTATACGTTTATACGGTGGTGGTGACTATACGTGATCGTTGTTAATATAAATCATCAAAAACACATTTTTACACTATATTTATTCTAATTAAAGTATGCTGTTGGTTTAGTATCTAATTAAAAATGGGCTATGTTAATTTTTATTATTTGTATGTGCAATATTTTAAATGCTGGTAACATTGCAATGTAAACATGACGTTCTTGTCGATACTGAAAAGAATTGGTAAAATATTTCAATCGAGTAAAAAAGTGCAATGTGTTTTCAAGACATGCTAATAGTAAAATCAACCGAAAGTGTTTCTCACGTAGTTCTCATATAGCAACATCAAATAGCTGTAATATAAATAGTTAAAAATGCACAATTTAATTCATAACTTGTTTGTATGGTGTATTTTGTGTTAGCTTACTAGCATGCTATCATCAAACTCTTGCAGAATCAGCTGAAAGTTTGGTCGTTCTTGCATTTAGCATCTCGATAAAATACTACAATGAACTTAAAAAAGGTTTATTTTATTGCTTCGTACACTTTCGCAGCGTGATCGTGCGTTGCTAACGCCATGCTAAAATAAAATCGACTGGAAGTGGCATTTCTCCTAGTTCTCATGAGCATTGCTATTTTGGCACATGCTAGCATCAAACTATTGGAATATAATTAGCTTAAAAATGCTATTTTATAAACTTGTTGATACAGTTGCATGATCACAGCCGTGCCGTTTAGCATTGATACTTTAAAGAATTGATAAAGTGGTTAAATCTAATTGGGCTATTTTTAATGTAAACATGACAACATGCTAATCATTCGATTAGCAGTATGCTAATGCTAAACTTTACTGAAGATGCGTCCCAAATCACATACTTGTGCTCTACTCTATGCCCTTTTGTAGTATAAATAGTGCGTTCACAATACACAAATACCCGGATGAACTTATTTAAGTGTGGGACGGAGGACACAGCGAGAGGGGGAGGGGCTATCAGACTCCCATGTTGAAAGACAAAATAAATTAATAAAAAATAAAGTTCAGACACTATACGACTGAGGACATAGTGTATAAGTGCATCATTTGGGACACAGCTGGAGTCAGTTCCCAAGTGTAGTGCTGTACACCTGACATGTGAAGTTGCTGCCTATGAAGTGCACTACAAATAAGTCACTGAAGAGATTTGGCTAGCATGACGGCTCACTAGCGTTTTGGAACAGAGCTTGAGAGAAACTACCAACACGCATTACGACATGAAAGCGAGATTGTGCCTCAGAGCCTGTGGCAAATACACGCTATGTTGGGTATTACCCACAATCCCCTGCTCTACCGCTTGCTGTGGGTTGGTCAAACATGTAATGCATCTCTCCACACACTCACACACACACACATTCTGACAGATACCTCTTGTCAGGGGGGGTTTCTTGACTGGGCGGTACTTCCTGTAGGTCTGGAAGATTGGCAAAGTCGTCATGCTCGGCCAATCCGATCGCGAGAGAGAGAACCACCATTTTTCCTTCCCTTCACCAAGAAAATGAGACACAAACAGAGAGAGAGCAGGAAGAGAGACCAGTAAAGTGCAGAGAGGAAGAGTCGAGAGCGAGAGGGAACACAAGAACAAGAAACTGTTATTATAGCAGCAGATAACATCAGTGTTGAGGACATCAGCCCCGTTCCTCAGACGCGCCGCACATGCTCTGCTTTACAGACGCTGATTCGCCAGTGTGCGCTCATTTGCATTTTGCAGGTTAAAGGAGTAGTTCACTTTTAAAATACTTTTGCTGATTATTTACTTGCCCCCGTGTCATCCAAGATGTCCATGTCTTTCTTTCTTCAGTCGAAAAGAAATGAAGGTTTTTGATGGATTTTCTCCATATAATGGACTTCAATGGGGACCAAACGGTTCAAGGTCCAAAAGACAGTTTCAGTGCAGCTTCAAAGGGCTTTAAACGACACCAGACGATGAATAAGGGTCTTATCAAGCGAAACGATCGCTCATTTAATAAATAAATAACAAAGTTTAAGTTTTATAAGCTCAAATGGTCGCCTTGCAGTTCTGTGATGCGCGTTCGTGACTCTCCTGTTCGAACTCGTTCATCAAAATGAGCGAATCTTTTTCCGAGTCAATCCATTCATTTTGTTCGTTGAATGAACCAAATGACACGAAAAAAGATTCGTTCATTAGCTAACGCGTCACGAAAGTGCATCACAGAACAGAGCAAGGCGAGCATTTGAGCTTATAAAACTTAAACTTTGTTATTTATTTATTAAATGGCCGCTCGTTTCGCTTGATAAGACCCTTATTCATCGTCTGGTGTCGTTTAAAGCCCTTTGAAGCTGCACTGAAACTCATTCGGACTTTGAACCGTTTGGTCCCCATTGAAGTCCATTATATGGAGAAAATCCTGGAATGTTTTCATCAAAAACCTTAATTTCTTTTCGACTGAAGAAAGAAAGACATGGACATCTTGGATGACACGGGGGCGAGTAAATTATCAGCAAAAGTTTTTTTTAAAAGTTTGGTTGTATCTCGATGGGAAACCTGTGCTGACCAACACAAGTCGGCATGAAGAAGAGTTGCAAATGCAGGTATTCGAATCGAAAATGTTATGTGTGTGAAATACAAATTCTCCAGTCAGTCCCGTCGCATTTAGAGCTGATCTTGATGAACAAAGACCCGTAAACACTCAAACTCACATTCTCTCGCACACACAAACAATTGATTTACTGTCCTCGTCACTCAACCCGTTCACTGGTGTTTTCATCCTTCTCTCTCTCTCTCTCTCTCCTCAGCCTTAATTGAGGCCCGTTAGAGAGATCTGGACTAATTGTTTCTATTTGAGTGTGTGTGTGTCGGCACTGAGCTGCTGCTTTCTGGGTCACTGCTCACCCTCTATCTCCTCTCCTCTTTCTTACATTCTTCAATTTTCTCTCTACTTACAAATCCCCTCGTCTCTGAGCCTGGCCCTTTCTCTAATATCCTGCTATTAAACAGCTCTCGTCTGTCTCTCCGGATCTTAAAGGAACAGTTCACATGGAAATGATTAGGTTAACAAACACAACAAACCAATATTATAAGTGTATGTGTGTGCAAATTATAAATATATAATATATATAAAAAAATAATACATTTAGCAATTGAATATAATTTATGTTGTTTTATATATATAATTAACATTGAATATTGTGCAATTTAAAATTTATTTTCTTTTCATACAGACAATATACATGCGATATACACACACACACACACAAAGATATACATAAATGTCATCTATTAAATCTCAGAATGAATATGCATTTTTCATATTGTAAATATGCTTAAATATTTTTTATGTGCTATTTTTTGATTTAATAAAATATTAAATAATTTTTAGATTAATTTTGGGACGAAATATAAACATCTTTGAAATATGGCTTTACGTTCCACAGAAAAGCACCAACATCAGGCGGGTTAGGAAAGACATGAGCGTGAGTATTTTCATTTTCAGGTGAACTGTTCCTTTAAATCCTAGCCTTGTCATATCTCTCTCTTCACTTCCTTTCCTTCTCCTCGTATCTAAAGTGGTTTTAATACTCTCTAACCCCCTCCACTTCCCCAACTTCCATCTCTCTCCTGCTGTAAATCCATCCATTCCTTCATATTCTCTTGGGCTTCCCTCCATTTTGGCTCACTCCAGCTATTTTTGCCTTTCAGAATTTAATGGCTGCAAAAAATAGCTCCTGGCTGGAGCGACTACACACACGCACACACACACAACACATACTCATGCGCGCACAACAGACAGGAATCATTATTGTCAAAGCAGTGAAAAGAAGCACTTTTCCGTTGAGAGAATGTTAACAGGAGCGTCGCTGACCACTGATAACACACCAACAACCCTCAATTACACCCTTCCTCTCGCCTTCCCTTTCCTCTGTCTCTACATCAGACACAAGGCCATGTACTGTATGTGTGTCAATGACATCCCCCTTTAACCAGCGGAGATGAAATATTTAGTCTTCCCAGCGTAAACGGATCACGGATGTGAATATTTTTGCAGAACATTGTTCACAGTTGGTGAATTCTGTATGCATGAATATACACCATTTGCAAAAATGGGAAGTATGCAGACTTCTTCAATGCAATACTTTTACCTGAACCCAAATGTTTCAATCCGCCTATTTTTATGCAAATTTTAGGAAATCGGATGGAAAGGATACTGGATGGAAACGCAAAGACTCTAAAAATGAGCAATGGCTAAACTGGAAATACATTCACCGAATAAATCCCTCAAAAACTCAACAGAGGATGCGATTGGATATGTGGGCTAACCAGCGGACCAATCGCATCACAGCATCTCAAATAGAGCCAGACCGATATCATCGGCCGATATTAGGCATTTTCCAAACTATCGGTATCGGCAGTTATAATGGCCGATAAATGATTATTTCAAAAATAAAATAAAAACGGACGAAACACGCTTGAACCATGTCATGAGTGTTGGAGTTGTATAGTTTGTCCACCAGAGGGCACTCTACACCGTTCCTGTCGGCAACACTCGTTGAGTTGGTCACGATACATACAATTAAAAGAACATCCCCATCAGTTCTCTAAACTCAAATATGCATGGCAACATTTGTGACTATCATGTCCAGTTTTGCTGCTGTTAAATAAGCCGTAAATTAAAGCTAGTAAATTACGTTACGTTGTTACAGTGTAGTTGACTGACTGTCCTTTTAACTTTTGACGATGTGACTGAAGTATTTCTTTAATAACGCGCAACAGTTTTAGCAATGAGACGCATCATCTCTCCTCGGCCTGTTATATTGAAAACGTATGTTTTACAATTTGCAGTATGACGTCATCCATTGCTAAATTATGGCTCATCATAACCATAAAGCTAGCTAATGCCACTATCATCAGTCTGTTCTGTTGTGACAATAAAAGAAACAAGTTTCTTTTTAAAATGCATTATCATAATATTTTAGTTAAAACTCATAAATAACTACAAATAACTAATGTTAGGGAAATCTGTTAATGTTTTGTTGCGTTTAATTCTCTCAGAAGCGTCTCACACGATTGCATGTCCAAGAGCACAAGAGAACATTATTGCTCTGTATTATTTTGTGATTTCTGATGTACGAAAAAGAGCCACAGTGGCTTCCCCGATTGCAGCGACTTCCATTTATATCGCAGATATTTTGCACCAAATTTCCAGGAAGTGACATTCGCAAATGTTTTATGCGATATATTGCAATTTTGCGCGTAAGTTAAATTCGCAACTTTGGCTACTCGCAACTCTCCCGTTCATTATTTGATCAAACTCCCCAAATTTGAGTAAATAATCTGGTTTAGTTAATGAGGTGAGCACTTATGCTAAATTAAACATGCAAAGTGTTGACAATTTAGCATGCTAGTTCAAAACATTTAACAATGCGTACTGTATAGTGCTGTATTAACAGTTATCAATACTGGGAATGGAAGGACAAATGTAGTAGGTCATCTGTTATTCAATGCTAAATCTACATACTGTGCACAACTAACTGCAAGTATGCTATTCTGAACCTCAGACTATTTCCTCACTTTCTTTCTGTTTTCTTTTCATTCTCTGTCCTGGGATAACAATCCATTTTCAGAGTAATGATTCAGAGGACAGAAAATCAATGCTTCAGGGTTAACGTGAATCTGTAGCAAAGACTTTAAACTCAACACCTGCCTGCGCACACACACACACACACACACACACACACACACACACACACGCACATAAACAAACACGTACAGAATAGCTCACCCAAAAAGATTGTGATCTCGACTCGTTCAATCACTTTTAGAAACACACAGTATCTTATTTCTGTGTTAAACGTACTGAGATAAAACATATTTCGTATTAGCGGTAGCGATCAAAATACAGTAACTTCAAATAAGTGACACGTAAAAAATGTACGTCATCGAATCATTAAAGAGATTTGTTCAAAAACACTGATTCATCCGGTTATGAAACAAGGGAAGTGTTTATGAGTCATTTAACCCGATAATAATTCATTCATGTTAATTAAACATTAAAAATAAATTAATATGTTGTCATAACCTCTAGTAAATTACATGCTATTTTGTTTAGAAGAATCATGATCTCTATTTGAAACAAAAAATCGTGATCCTCAATTTATCAGAATCGTGCAGCTTTAATATTATTACATTAAGTCTCCAGAGGCAGTTTAATTACATAAAAAAGACTTGTGTGCCATATATGCTAATTATATTGACTATTTTACTACTTTTTGTCCATAAAACAGCATTACGTTTTGAAACGTGAATGATGACAGAATTTCAATATATTAATAAGTACCATAACGGTGTAAAATAAATGTATCTGAACAATGTAAATCTCCCAGGTTGGACATCGTGGAAAATATTCTGTGGCCTTTCAAGAGAAATTATATTTCAAACCTGTCCTAATACGCTGTTGACCTCGCAGCATGAGAACCGCTGTTTAAATGTGAAAATTACAGGCCTCTTCTCACGCCGAGCGTCTATTATAATTCAATTAAATACGTCACAACAGAGCCAAATGTCACTTATACACAACTGAGGCAGGCTTATAAATCCAACCATGTTACATCACTTGAGAGCCATGAAATCCATCAATCACGCCGATTTGCTGTGTGTTCACGTGTGAATAATCTTGGGAAATTAGATGATGTTCAGTCGCGTTAATTGTTTGTCATTTAAGCTGAGACCTGCCCTCCCTTCCTTCGCCGGTCACGCAGCCGAGAGATTCACAGAGACGGCCGGAGCATCTCTACAGACCTGTAGCCCTGCGAAAGTCCATAACTCACAGCGATTATAGGGAATTATGTTTCAGACTTTCCTAATGAATAAACAACCCTGTTTGAAAACAAAAGACTGAATATTAAAGGGATTATTTGCCATCATTTACTCGCCCTCATTTCGTTTTTAACTCCCTATGACTTCTTTCTTTCTTTCATGAAACACAAAATTGAAAAAAATTAAAATAATGGTGTTTCTTTTCCATAGAACGAAAGCCTAATGAACTATAAAGCAACAAAAACCAACCTAAGGGTAGTCTTTAGAAGCTTCATGTAAGAAAAATACTTTGTTTTACTCCACTGCAGCTTTCAAATGTCATTTACATATGGACATTTCAAAACTTTGGGGTGTCGAGATGCTTTGTAACACTTGTGACGCCACACTCGATTAGTTTATCCATGTTTTGCAACCAAAAGTGCATGTTTTAGGGGCTGGGTATTGACACAAATTTCACAATTCGATTCACAAGCTTGCAATTCGATTAGATTTCGATTCCGATTCAATATTGATTATTTTGGATATCAGTTACAATAAATGGCAAATTTTCTCAAGGGAATCAAATCTCTTAACTAACGCTGTAAACTATGGGAGTCTAGTTGGGCTTCATTAGCCTAATATGAAGGTAATAATGACCTATACAAACATTTAAATTACACTTATTTATTTTTATAATAAGAAGATTATATGAAATATAAACATTTAAATGGTGGCTGTCATAAAAACTCGCCAGATTTATTCAAATATGCATTAAGAACATTAAGATTATAATGTATATGTAATATGGTGTATATATTTAGCAAAATGCTCCTCTCTAGAGTTATTTTTTCTAGCTGACTAACGAGTTTATGTGGGTTTTCTGAGGTAAATATGACGATACATTGATTACAAGCTGTTTAACTGACGTCTTTCCACGGTTGAAACGCTGATTGAGCGAATCAATGTGACATGATCCGGATTTGGATAAGTTGTACTCTATCTTTAACACACTTTCAGATGCTCATTCATGTTTAACTGGTATTATTAAGCCGGAAGAGAGATCAGCGCTGCTGCTTCTCCAGAGCGATCTCACGCCACAGCGACAAAACGTTATTTACGTTTTTTAATTTCTAAAGAAAATGGACGTAATTTGAAAATTGAGACTTTGTTTCATATCAATAGTAACAAAGGACAAAGATTATTGCGATTTTTTGGATGCGCGCAGCCGCGATACAATGATCCATTCATTCAAATGAAACAGGATGACTAATCGATTCAAGAATCGATGTCGGCTCGTAAAAATGAGAATCGATTAATATCGAGAAATCGATATTTATTACCCAGCCCTAATGTTTTAGTTCGAAAAGTCACCATTTGAGAACTATGGAAGATCAGTAAATTCAGTAAACATGCATATGGAGAAGTGTATGGTGTTTAGAAAGAAGACAGTCAAACGGCTTGGGAGTGAAATGAGGGTAAATAAATAATGACCGAATTTTCATTATGGGGTAAACAAGAGAAAGACCATTCATGAGCACAAACACATGTCCGAACGCATATGCATGTGCTGACATATATACGTAATATTAGTCCTGGTACCAGATCTCCAGCGGTCCCCTGAGGTCCTAAAACGCACACAAGGCAATGTTCAGCCATATAAAACAGAACGTCACAAAGATCAGTGCAGAGCGCTGAGGGAGGGGGTAATATCCTGCAGCGGGATGAAATACAGTGTGACAGAATGAACAACTGTCTGACAGCGTCTGGAGACAGACAGGTGAAGAGAGAGAGAGAGAGAGAGAGGCACGCAGATCATTTTCAGTTGAACTCTGGGACTTTACACTGTTTTAAGAGGCATATTATCACCACCACACACTAAAGCAGGTCAAGCATAAATAAAGCATCCCAGAGAAAGAGAACTGACTGAGATATTTCTTGAAGAATATAAACGCAACACGGTTCACCCAAAAATGCATGACTTGGTTTCTTGCATGGAATATGAAATGATGTTTTTGAGAATGGTGCCGCTCTTTTCCTAACAATGAAAATGAATGAAGTCCATTAGATTCTAACTGTAGTCTAACTGGCATGATGCCTTTGTACAAGAAACCGATTCTTGCACTGATGTGAAACCTATGAGACTTGTACAAGAATGAGTCGTCAAAGCTATCATGCGGCTTCAAAAGACTTGCCAAACAATGAAACAGAAAGCTAGATTTCTTTTGTCTGTAGTTGCCGTACGTGCTGATTTTTCTGGAATAGAGCAGCGTGAACATTACGCTGAATTTCTCTTTTTCTGTTATAGAGCTTATATAGCCCCGCCCCTTTTCAGCGCTGCGCTCGTTGTCTTTTGTCTTCCGGTTTGTATTTTCACAGCATTCTTACTAGGGCTGGGTATTGACACAAATTTCACAATTCGATTCGATTTCGATTCACAAGCTTGCAATTCGATTCGATTTCGATTCGATTCAATATCTATTATTTTGGATATCAGTTACAATAAATGGCTAATTTTCTCTGAACTAATGCTGTAAACTATGGGAGTCTAGTTGGGCTTCATTAGCCTAATATGAAGGTAATAATGAACTGTTTTGTAGCTATACAAACACTTAAATTACACTTTTATTTAGTTTTATAATAAGAAGATTATATGAAATATAAACATTTAAATGGTGGCCGTCATAAAAACTCGCCAGATTTATTCAAATATGCATTAAATATTGCAGAACATTAAGATTATAATGCATATGTAATATGGTGTATATATTTAGTAAAATGCTCCTCTCTAAAGTTATTTTTTCTAGCTGACTAACGAGTTTATGTGGGTTTTCTGAGGTAAATATGACGATACATTGATTACAAGCTGTTTAACTGACGTCTTTCCACGGTTGAAACGCTGATTGAGCGAATCAATGTGACATGATCCGGATTTGGATAAGTTGTACTCTATCTTTAACACACTTTCAGATGCTCGTTCATGTTTATTTGGCGCTGTGACTGGTATTATTAAGCCGGAAGAGAGATCAGCGCTGCTGCTTCTCCAGAGCGATCTCACGCCACAGCGACAAAACACTATTTATGTTTTTGAATTTCTAAAGAAAATGGACGTAATTTGAAAATTGAGACTTTGTTTCATATCAATAGTAACAAAGGACAAAGATTATTGCGATTTTTTTGGATGCGCGCAGCCGCGATACAACGTCCCATTCATTCAAATGAAACAGGATGACTAATCGATTCAAGAATCGATGTCGGCTCGTAAAAATGAGAATCGATTAATATCGAGAAATCGATATTTATTACCCAGCCCTAGTTCTTACGCATTTATGAATTACCTGTCCGTTTTAAAAATCTTCCCGGTCTACTGACATTTTTTAAAGACATACTCCACACTTTTTTTGGAAATAGGCTCATTTTACAACTCAACAGTTTCTGGTCCCACTGACTTCCATAGTAGGAAAAAATATACAGTAAACAATGGAAGTCAGCGGGACTAAATATCAGAACATCGGCTGAATGGATTCCAACTGTTGAGTTGTAAAATGAGCCTATTTCCCAAAAAAGTGGAGTATCCCTTTAAGACATCTGCTTTAAAAGTTACAATGTTCGTGATAACTTTCGTCAACTCGACAATAAATAAAAACACTTCACCAGCGATGTCATAGAAATACACAGAGCGACCGCACAAACGGAAGTTCAAAGATAATATCGTAAAGATGGCACTTGCTGACATGAGGGGGAGCCGATGATTACAATTTTTGGGTGAACCTTAATTTTGTGAAATGCAAATACAGGACACAAAGGCATGCACAGGACAAGAAGTGACTTACAGGAAGGATTTAACGTCCAGGCCTCGTTTCGTTATCTGACCCATCATGTGATCCACACTGCCCGGGTTCCCATGAGAGGCACCTCCCGACCTATGGCGGGACGCTCCAGCCGGGGCGTTCCTGGAGCCTCCTCCGGGCCCCGCGCCACCGCCCCCTCCCAAACCCGGCTGGGTGTGCAGCTGACCCAAACTCTGGGAGTTGGGAGGCCTGTTGACCAAACTGGGGGGCGGAGCCTGGATCAAGGGTTGCTGGAGGCTCTGCTGACGCAACAAGGTGCGAGGCCGAGGTATCGACGCCATCGACGGGATTTGGTCCAAGGTCTCGGTCGAGGAGAGGGCGTGGTCGGACAAACTGTGCGGGCAGAGCAGGAGGGAGGGCAAGGAGCGAGACGAGGAAGAGCGGGAGCGACAGAGCGAGGGGCGAGGAAGGAGGAGCAGAGAAGGCGGGACGAGAACAAAAGGGCGGGGTTGAGGAGAAGAATCCGGAGAGGGTTTATAAGAAGTCGAATGAGGATCAGAGGACGCAGAGGGGCATGGAGGAAGAGGAGACGACACGTTGAAGGGATCCGGGTGAAGGGGAGACATGGAGGAGGACGACAGGTTTAGGGAAGGATGAGGGCAGAAGGGAATGGCCAACGAGTCGTCAGATGGAGAAGGGGGTAGAGGAGAGGAAGGAGGAGGAGTGCGTGGTGTAGGTGGGGACACGAGGAGAAGCAGAAAGAAGGAGAGAAGCATCAGACAGAGGCAGTATCCACCGTAACACAGGTAGAGAGCGCAGCCGCCCTGGTCTGTGTGCCGAGCGAGACTTCCTTGAGCGAGCGACGAGCGGCGAGAGTGTGTGTGCGTCTGCGCGGCCTGTTTGCGTGCCGCTCCTGCGCGCGGCTGACTGGATCGCGGTGTGTGTCGGCCGTGCGCGTGTGTGTGTCGCGGCGTGTGTGGCGTCAGCCGGCTGCCACCGGTTCTCGCGGGCGACTGTTTTTTGGTCTGTTGAGAGCCTCCCATGTCGGTCTACTCACGTCTGCACACATTGCCCACGGTTTCTCTCGCGACACTCGTTTTAAGCGACACCGCGGCCCCCCGAGTTCCTCCAGCAGCCAACCAACTCCGCCAGATCATCCGTCAGTCTTTTGTTCTCTCCTCCCCTCCCTCAGCAATTACATCCCTCTCTTTCTATCATTAGCCCGGTTTCACTTTAATCTAAAAACTGTGTCACATTCACCTCAGAAACTTCAGCGAGCTGCACTCATGATTCCTGCATTTTCTGGCTGTTCAGCAGACTGTTCCCTTTACACTCTCAGAAGAAATGGTTCCATCCCCCGCTTCATATATGGAACTCCAAAATGGTTCTATATAGAATCATTTTTTTGGTTAAAGGTTCTATTGACCAAGTATGGAACCCAGGAACCCTTTTTTAAGAGTGTATAGAACCTTTTAGGGGTTCCAAATACGTAGCGCTGATGGAACCTTTTAAGGTTCTATATAGAACCTTTTCTTCTAAGAGTGTAGGGTACAGCGGTAGTCCGCACCCTTAAACAGGGGTGTTCGAAACTTGGAGGGCCATTGTCCAGTCCTCATTAAACACACCTGAACCAACTTATTAAAGCATATTAAATGTATTATTAAATGTACTTATTAAAGCATATTAAACATTTACCATATCATAAACTTTCAGGGAGGGCTAATTTATAGCTAAATTAATAACATCTTATCCAGCCCTAAAAGGTTACCTTAAGACTATATCAATCTTCTAAGATACTAATATGCATCTTAAGTAACAAGGGTCCAGCTGCCGTGCCCCTAAAGATACAATTTTGATTAAAAAATTAACGTTTAGAGTGATTTGGAGTTTATGGGACATAAAACAAACTTGCTCCAGTGAAGGAAAACCATCTTGATACTGAAGTTAGCATGAAAACATCGCATTTTAATTCTGTAATATGACATATTTCAGAATCAAGGACATGAGGAGAGACTGCCTTCAAATTCAATGTGATTTTAGTTGCAAAAAGAGACACATTCGAGAATTGTTCATTTCCCAGCAACCACAGGAGACCTTTTTAATAGTTCTGCATCAAAGATGCACGTTAGGTGTGAAATCGATGCACAAACCTGCGACCGTATAAACTGACTAAACGAGCATATTCTAGCAATGTTTACAGCTATTACTATGCTTTAACAGGACACAACTAAAGTACCACTTATTGTAAACAATAATCTGCCAAGACTTTGATTTTACATGCCGTAACTTGAAAGGTAGAATCAAAACGAAAATCAATGGTACACTATAAAAAATGCTGGGTTGTTTTAACTTTATTTATTTACTTTATTTATTATCAAATATATTTAATAAATACATTTGAAAATATATTTACACAAATGTATTTCCGATATATATATAAAAAAAAAAGAAAAATGTAATTTATGACCGGAAATGCATTTTCCTGCCCATCAATTTTTTGCCATATATTTTAGGGCCATTCTTTGGTATAGTGTGAAACTAAATATATTTATATTGTTTACATATTTTGAATTTACAAAAAAAAAAAGCCCAATTTTTTTATGATTAGAAATATGTTGTCCTTGAAGTCATTATGTAATGTATTTTAGCATTAAAGAAATATATTTTCATATTTAAAAATCATATTTTAACTAAGCTGGGCTGTTTATAAATATGGACAGACTCAAACATTGGGTTAAAAATGTAACCCAATGGCTGGGTTTTTCCATATTTGACCCAAAATTGGGTTAAAACAACCCAGCATTTTAGAGCGTAGTCGAAAAGATGCTCATATCGCCATGAAGGTCAAGTTCACCATTTAAAGCATCCCATTGGTTCCACTTCTTTTCCAAATCAATCCTAATGTATTATTGCTGTAACCTTTATCACTAAATGACTGCATTAGTAGCCTATTATCTTCTTATTCATTATCTTATTCTTTCACCCAGGAGCATTTGAGCAGATCAGATTTGATTTCATGTTGAGCTGGCATAAGGCTGGACTGGCACCGGCTCAATGATAAAGGGCATCAGGTGGTTGCAGGGAGAGAAGCGAGCCGTAGTGGAGAACAAGAGAAAGAGAGAGACAGGGAAAAGAGGATGTGAGACACAACACAAGAGACAGACACATATAGCGGCCTGAAAATAGAAACCAATTACTGACGGAGAAAAACGGAGGGCGTGTTGAGAGAGAGAGAGAACGAGAGAGAGAACGAGGACTGGTGGTATGGATGGAGTGAGAGAAGAGAGATGTGAGACAGAGAGAGAGTGTGAGATGCTGGAGAGGAGGAGGCGTTAGCTAAGGGTGTGAAGAAAACTTAAATTGAGACCCTGTGTGTGTGTGTGTGTGTGTGTGTGTGCACTCAAGCGGCACAGTAGCGTTGTAGCAGCTCTGGGTTTGTTTGGGTGAGGTTGTGTTATTCATGACTTCATCCGTTCACTCGCCTGGTGTTTCGTGTCTCATACTCAGCAAGAAATCAAAACTGTCCAAACTTGTGCATCATACGTCATTGGTGGTACGCCTCTGAAATATTATTTTACACATGAAGAGTTCAGATGCAAAAGCCTCTAAATGCCATTTGACATTTTCTTCTAAAATGACCATTTTAATCAAACTTGTATATTTAAGTTCAGTAATTTCACTTAAATAACAATTAATAGGTAATTATCATTGCCATTTAAGTGAAATTACTGAACTTAAATATACAAGTTTGATAAAAATCATCATTAAAGAAGAAAATTTCAAATGGCATTTAGAGGCTTTTGCATCTGAACTCTTCATGTGTAAAATATTTCAGAGGCGTGCCACCAATGACGTATGATGCACAAGTTTACAGCATACATATGTTGTAAACAGCCTAGCTTAGTTAAAATATGATTTTTAAATATGAAAATATATTTCTTTAATGCTAAAATACATTACATAATGACATATTTCTAATCATAAAAAAATGGGGTTTTTTTTGTAAATTCAAAATATGTAAACAATATAAATATTTTTAGTTTCACACTATACCAAAGAATGGCCCTAAAATATATGGCAAAAAATTGATGGGCAGGAAAATGCATTTCCGGTCATAAATTACATTTTTCTTTTTTCTTTTTTTTTGTTATATATCGGAAATACATTTGTGTAAATATATTTTCAAATGTATTTATTAAATATATTTGATAATAAATAAATTATATTTATCATAAAATAACATTTTATATATAAAATTATTATTAAAATATATATTTAAGAATAGTTTACCATAATATATATATATTTAAATATATGATGAATATAAATATTAAATAACTATAAATATATATCAGCAATATAGTTTTGTATATTTTAAAATATATTTAAAAACATGTCTGATCATTTGTTTATTTGCTGTATTTGCGTCAGAAATACACTGATTATGGAAGTAAAACGAATCAGTCTAAACTTTCTTTTACCGATCTAATGAAACTTCGTCCTCTCTCAGGATTCATTTCACACTGCTGACAGACACACATTACGATTCACTGAAATATTAAGCACATTTACGGGACGTTTATAGGACGCATTAATATTTTGTGCTACACAGCGATTAATATGGAAAACTGGTGTTTAACATCCTCCGGCCATCCATCGCTCGTGTCTCCCAAACGCTTCTATAAAACTTTAACTGTGTGCCGATCGTTAGAAAGATCTGCTCTTCAGAAAGTCATCAGATGGGAACGCATCATCTTCTCTCATCACAGTTCACTGGAACACACTCTTACAACTAAAAGTTCACTGATGATGTCATAGAAGTGCCAACATTCTAAAAAGAACCGTTTGTTTTCTTAGTGTGAAGAACATTCTAATCATCGAAATCTTTTTTTTTTTACTGGGGAACCTTTTGTGGATCGGACGTTCTATGGAACCATGGAATCCAATTAAGAACCTTCATTTTTAATTCTACTTGATTCTGATTTATTCTATCTTGACTCTACATTCAGTCAAATATATGCAACGGTAAACATTATAATGGCTGTTAGCTTCATGTTTCATCTTGCAGATTCTTTTTTCTCACAAAACACAATGAAATCAACATATAAACCAATTGTGAAATTCACCATCTGGAACTGATTGGATTGGGAACATTGTGTATTTCCAGAGGGAAAAAGAAATTGACCACAATCGTCCTGTCCTTCAGTTGAAAGAGCCGATCACTTTGTTTTAAAGAGACGAACTGAAGCTAGACTAGCTAAACGTGTTCATGAGTTCCCCATTCTATAGACGGGAGTTATCATTCTCTGTGCATATCTATACTATCATTCAACAGATTCTGTGAGATTTTTGAACGAAAACTCTTTATTTGACCAAAAAATAGAGAATTTGATAAAAATTTTAGAGAAAAAAAAACAGTAAAATTATTACAACTTAAAATAACTGTTTTCTATGTGAATATATGTTAAAATATCATTTATTCCTGTGATCAAAGCTGAATTTATCATCAGTCTTCAGTGTCACATGATCCTTCACAAATCACTCTAATATGAGACATTTATGATTATTATTATCAATGTTGAAACAGTTTCTGCTTCATATTTATGTGGAAATATCTTGTTGAAAAGCACAGCATTTATGCGAAGATTATGCAGGCCGTTGTTTTTCCTCGAATCGTCCGCAATAAGAAACCGCATTCTGAATCAGTGTCGACACTAAACTCAATATTTCCAGTGCATTAATATGTTAAGTAGCCAGATCATGTAGTCCGCCGGTCTGTAATATCGGTCAAACACACAGTTATATTTATTATCCCTCACATTTCATATTCGCAGGCGCATGATATCAGCAATTACGCCGTCTTTTGAGTCATCGCGGTGTTGTGTTTTATAATGGACTGAAATGAGTGATCGTCAGTCGTACGGATTCTGCTATTACTAGACTGCAGGGCGGCCTGAAATCTCACACAGACTTTCTTAAACACACACACACACACACACACACACGTCTCCGGCGGGCTGGACTCACTTGCCGTTCTTGAAGTCTCCTGACTGCAGGCGGCTTTGCACCGTCTGCCACCTGCCGGCTTTAATGCCCCCCGTCATCATGTTCCTCACGCTGTCGCTGCGGGACGGCCCCCCTCCGTCCCCAAACACCCCCCCCACGGACCCCCGCTGGCCCCCGGGCACCGCCCCACTGAGGGGCCGCCGGAGAGAGAGGGAAAGGACACACATTGGGAGAGAAGAAACGGTTACAGGTTTGGATAAATAACCGTGATTTATCCCGTGAGAGTGTGACATGCGTGACCTCACAGCGAGCTACAACACACAACACAATCACCCGGGGTGCAGATCCTCCTATAGGGG